CTGTCCTGCCGCCTCTGAGTGGGTGATCTGCCAAGGAGGCATGGCAGGGAAACCTGAGTTCCTGCCAGAGGCTGATCGAACAGCCAGAGAGGAGGAGGAGAGAAAAGGAGCATGCACCGGCTAGGGAGTGAGGGATCTAGCCATGGAGGTGGGGGAAGGGAATGCCCGGCACCTGTGGTACCACATGTACAAATTGGCACAAACTTTGAGACTGAGGTTCATGCCCATCTCTATTTAGGAGCCTCAGTTTGCTTGATGGTAGAACTGACCAAACAGAACTACTGTATACCATTGGTGGGTTTGATCACTCAAATGGTTATAGACTCTTTTTCTACTTTGTTAGCATAGAGTAAATATGGATGATCCATTAACTTCTCCTTTGTGCTGAGACTAATTTTCCTGCTTGTTTGAATAGTAAATAACAATCCATTCTGTGTAATTTTTTTCAAGAACAAGTTTGAATTTAATTCTCTAGAACACTGTATCTTTAAGCTACTCATATCAACAGACTGCGGTAGAAAAACATGTTATGTCTAGGCTATCTTTAGCTTTTACGGCTGTTAACGGTGTTGGTTTATAAGAATTTGTCCAACATGTTAATTTTCTCTCTTAGGATGGAAAATTTCAAACCAGCTGCCTTGCAACTAATTTAAAACTTGATTTTGCTGAAGAAATTGTACGTCCAAGTTGTTCTGTTGCAGTGAAATATAATGAAGATATTCAACAAGTTGTATTGACACTATGAGTCACACCCAATTTTAGGAAAAATCCTCTTGCATCAGCTAATTGGTCTATTAGTTTGTTCCTCTTTCTTGTTGAGGGTAGCGGAAGGTAGTGTTTAGTGTAGAGCCTTTCTGGGTTGTGACTTGCTTTTAGGTTTCTGCCTTTCAGTTAGTTGTTTGCTTCAATAGGCCAAGGCTAAAATAGGTTATATATTTTATTAGCTAAGCCAAGGTCCCCCCAGGCAGGATTCTTTCAAACTGGGATTTTGTTTGGTACCTTGTTATTGTTTGTTGGTATTTAAATTTCATTGGATTGCCTCTGTTTCTCACCTTTTAATCCATGATTGAAAGCAGTAGTTGCTCTGTGACTTTTCTGGAGGTAAGTTAAATCTGTGAATTTTGTTGCATTTTGTATTTTTCTCTTTGTTTTGGAAATGCAGTATCCTCCTTGAAAACTGATAACAAGCAAATCCCCATTGGTTCCTTGTTGATTCAGTAGATATCTACCACTTGTAATTGGGGATACAATATGTTTTGTAGTACCATCGGCTGTATGATAGTACAGAAAGCCTTTGCTTGCATACCTATCTTGAGTTTGGTTAAGATAGTTACAGAAGGCCGTCTCCAGAATGTAGCAGCATTACCAGGTGGGTTAGATTTGAATTTAATCTGCACTCCCCAAAGGCAGCAAAATTACTCTGTTTATTACCTGAGGTGCCTTAATTGTCTTTCCCTTTGGACTTCTTAAAGTTACATGAAATTTAAGTTGTTATTATTACTGCTGCTGCCATTATTATTTGAAGGAAGAGTTCTTGCTTGCTGGGAATTGTAGAGAACAAGGGCTAATAATGACACAACACAATTCCTGCCTGGAGACATATATATTAAATAGAAACATTTGTATCGGATTGGGCCCTGATCCTTTAAATTTCTGTTTACAGGACAAAGAGATAAACTCACCTTGATAGAGCTTATATTACTGCTACTACTATGAATAAAAGAACATATTGTACTTAAGGACTTTATTGCAGTTATTTGCTACATACATGGGACACATTCATTTTGAAATTTGGCAGCTTTATTACAGGCAAAGAGGACACTGCATTTCCAACCACACAGCTTGCTTAACCACTGGTGTGTACATGCGCAGGCAGAAGTCTAAAGCTCACGTTGTGCTACTGCTTTGCAAACACTTCAGCTTTTGGCAAGCACATAACAAAGGATGTAAAGCCAACAATTATTCAGGGAACATAACCCCCTGCAAAACTGCAGAGTCCAATGGAATTTGTCACATTTCTTCCAGTTGGACTCATGGTTTATAACCATTCAAAATATCAGGGATGTTGGCAAGTCTTTGGATCTGAGTCCCAAGTCCAAGTCTTTGGTACCAAGTCCCAAGCCTCAAGTCTGAGTGCCTATTAAAAATAAGCTTTTTTCCTCAGAGAAAAAAAGAGTGGATGGGTTCCGAGTCACAAGTCAAGTCTGAGTCATTAAAAGAAAAAAAAACAAGTCAAGGCTGAGTTGAGTCAGTTGGTGCGACATAAGTCTGACTTGAGCGCGAGTCCTCCGACTTGAGTCCCATCCCTGCAAAATATGGGATTTTTTTTCCTTCCTCTAATCTAGACAAAAGAATTGCCAGCTATGCCTCTGTTCTCTGTTGTCAGATAGCTTTGTTTAAGGAACAACTTTCTTTTGTTTTGTGGTTAATTTGCAGACACTCTTTGCACAGAACTGAACTTGAGGTATGCCTTGCACATATATTGTCTTAACAATTAATAGGCCTCATTATAGGAATATTCTCATGTCTTTATCTGTCTCATTATGAGAATGGTTGTGCCTCTGCTGCCTTGCAATTTAAACACAGAGGTAGTTGCAAAGAATCCTACAATGAATCCATGTTACTTTTTAAAAACTGGTCTCCTCAGACGTATTTGTAGTTACTAGTGCTCGGTCATCCCAATTGTTATGAGAGATTCATTTCTAATACAACTGTAATACCAAATTACCCGTATTTTTTGCTCCATAAGACACACCTCTCCATAAGACGCACCAAATTTTTAGAAGAAAACAAGAAAAAATGTTTTCTTTTCCTAAAAATTGCTGAGCCTTATGGAGAGATCTGTCTTATGGGATACACCCTAGGACCCTTTGGAGGCCCACCCGGGGGTCAGAGGGGGCAAAATCGCTACCTTCTGGGACTCTTCTGAGGCTTCCCAAGCCTCAAGAGTCCCAGAAGGTGGCAATTTCGCCCGCGCTGGCCCCGTGGGGGGGTGAGGGGAGCGTCGCAAGGGTCTGGTAAGGCTCACTCGGACCCTTGCGATGCTCCTTCCACCCCACTGCGGGGCCAGCATGGGTGAAATCGCCAGCTTCCAGGGTGATTTCGCCCCCGCTGGCCCCGTGAAGGGTCCGAGTGAGCCTTCCCGGACCCTTGCGACGCTCCCCCCCCCACGGGGCCAGCGGGGGTGAAATCGCCGCCTTCGCTCCAGAAAACAGACCCCCCCACACATTTTTGGGGGCGGAGTGCGTCTTATGCAGCAAAAAATACGGTGGTACAAATGCCCCATCATAATATATAATAATATTGAGGAAAAAATCAGAAGTATACAGAAGAATTTTTATAAGGTAACTTCAGCTGCATGATATGGAAGTTTCCTTTTGCCTTTCTGTCATTTTCGAGAAGATGTGAGAGTTACTTTATAGGGAATTGATAAACTTTTCTGGAGAATGTGTAGTGTTACAGCTTCCTAGTTTTCAGAGCAGATACAGAACTGGAGGGGCAGGGGAGAACTTTTTAGTACTACAAAGGGAATTGCCCTCAGAAGAGCAGAAAACCACATGAAGTGATGCTGATGTTTAGAAAAATAACTATTATTTCAGGACTGCATTAGGAAGCTGGTGGCATACATTAGCACAAGTAACATGAATACTACAGACTGCACAGACTTCATTTCATTTATCCTAATATATATAATTTTCATGGTTTAGTATATGGTGTCCCTGCCTTGTAATGGAATGGAACAACATTTCTAAAGACCTGCAGTGTGTTTCTGTTTTCATTAGCTCTGACAGTTCCCAATAAAAAGTGTTAATTCTTGCTTACCTTCTCTGGCAAGTACATCTTGTTCTAATACCTCTAAGGCACTGGTTCTTAACCTTGGGTTACTCAGGAGTTTTGGACTGCAACTCCCAAGAAGTCTTCACCACCAACTGTGCTGGCTGGGGTTTCTGGGAGTTGCAGTTCAAAAACATCCGAGTAACAAAGGTTAAGAACCACTGCTCTAAGGCAATAAAGTAGTCAAGGTGAGATAGGCAACTGTAGCAGAATACAAGCACAATTCTCGCATGATGTTTCTTTGCATTATATGTTGCTGGCTGAGGTTGAGAAAACATAGTCAAGATTATACTAGGAATTCAAAATATCCTGATTTTTCTGCATGCTTCCCAACCAAATACACTCTCGTATAACAGGATTTTACAGTTACTTTGAATTGGTGGAACACAAGCCATGTTGCATCTGTCCCATTTCTTGTGGACTATATATTTCAGGAGGTGTGTAAACATTACCAAAGGTAGCTAATTTATTTATTTGCACTATTATTTACTTTTCAGTTCTAGTGATGTCAAAACTGATGTAAAATTGAACAAGGCTTTAAAACCATGTTTAGAAGTAAACCAACAGCAGTAAAATAGCAATGTAGTAATAAAACTAAAAATCAGTAACCACACTGAGGAGGGAGAGAAGACACCTCTTGTTCTAGCTTATGCAGATTGCAAAAAAAAATCTAGGAGAAAATATAGTTCTTTGTGTGAAATTAAGTCAGAAGGCAGGAATAGCAAGGCTGCTGCTTCAAAGACAACAGCTGAATTAAACCAGCAGGGTAGCAGTTTAAAAAAATCTAGCAAGGTGTGCTGAAGAGGTGGAAATAAAAATCACTCACATTAGTGTCATTTCAGAAGCTTCACATCTGCCTTTACCAATCTTTGGTTATATAAGTTCAAGACACAAAGAATGGTACAATGATTGTTGATTTTTCACAATGAAGATAAAATCACTGCATCGCAGGATGGTCGGGAAGTCAGGAAAATAACATCCACCCTGTTGTATATATAACTCCCATGCCCGATTAAGTGCAACTCTTAATCACTCAGTTTCTGAGGCCTCCGCACTTTCTAAATTTCTGTTCTGCAGCTCATGTGGCATCCTCTTTTTTTCCTGAGTTGCTTGCTATTGATGAAAGAGTTAACTTCCTGTTTTGTTGATTTATTTTCTGTCTTCAGAGGGAGAACCGCAGGCTTCAGGAAGCCAGCATGCGGCTTGAGCAAGAGAATGATGACCTTGCCCATGAACTTGTAACAAGCAAAATTGCTCTACGAAATGACTTGGATCAGGTGAGAATATCCTTCATCTGCAATCAGACCTCACCAGAAATTAAAGAAAACATCACTTTTGCAACAGGGAAACAGAATTTAAAACATCATTACATCCCCATGCTTTTGGTACCCATTATCAGGCATGCAAATTAGGTACACAAGTAGTTAGTCCCCAAAAATTCACTGCAGAGGTCTGCCAGGTATGCTTCTTAAGATGCGTTCAAATGCTGGCTGCAAATGGCCTCTGAGAGGATATGGGAATGAGTTAGACCTTTTGTTTCAAGAAGTGCAGACTGTTTTGTGGCTCTTTGTTTGAAGAGTGGGTGGAAAATTCCGGCCAAATGCTACTGGGGTGAAGTTTGAAACCACACCTTCTCAAAGGCTGTTTGCAGACAGACTTTGAATTCATCCTAAGAAGCATACCTGGCAATTTTGGGACTCTCGTTTATATATTTTCTGAAATATTGGTGCATAGCCTGAGGAAAGCTCATTGATGGTTTGATTCTCTCTTTTTTTTTAGTGTAACTATATGTTGTCAGTGTCATGTGTGTTTTGTGTTGTTGTATTGTGATGACTTACGGTTTTAAGCAATAAAGCTTGTTCATTCATAAAGATAATAGTACATCATGATTAGCAATTTATTTTAAAAATGATACAAGCAGGATTAAGCTATATGTGTACAAATATAGCTGTTCAAACTTCTTAAGGAGAAGGCAGAGAGGCATCCTCTTTGATGCATTGAATTGTCAGCATTCAGGGGTTTTGTTTATTAGCAGTGTCTTGAAATTTTTAGGCTGAAGACAAAGCAGATGTTTTGAATAAAGAGTTGCTCCTGACGAAACAGAAGCTAGTGGAGACTGAAGAGGAGAAGCAGAAACAAGAAGAAGAAACAGCCCAGGTAACTTCATTGATCCATGTGGGGGATGGAACAGGGACTACCCTTCTGTGTGCTGAACACTTAAACACAGTATAACTAAAAAGGAAAACTAAAGAACAGTTAGCAGAGATCAGCCAGCCAACAGCCAGCCCCACAAAAGGCTTAAGACAAGGCAAGACAACTGTCCAACAGGCAAATTAGGTGTAATAGTAATTCTTTGTACATAATTAACATGACTGTTCTGTTGTTGATTATGATGATGCTATGCATTCAGCAGCCACAGAATGATGGAATGGCAAAGTTGAATGCTTCCATCTTCTGACATGGTTCTGGGAGGAAATAATCCTCTTCAAAATTAATATTACCATTTCTACCCTCCATTGGCCCCAACGAGAATGGGTTAGGCCTTTAGAACGTTTGGAACAGTAAAGAAGGAAGCAGATGTAGTTGGCTATGGAACAATCCACTGCCAAGTTCTCCATGCACAGCTCTTAAGCATTTCCCAGCGGATTGCCCTCTATGTTATTTAGTGAGGAATGCCACTGAAATGTTGTCCTTTTACACCAGTGTGTTGGGATCAGCTGTGTACTAGAAGCATGTTTCCAATCCTTTGATCAAACAACACATTTCAAATGAAGTAATAAGTCACAAATATTTCCATTGTTCAACACAAGCTTCGTATGTATGACAGCTCCCTTTTAATTCCAGATAAATGTGAATTAACTAATAACATCTGGTTGCATACTGTGTCCAATTAGAATTGCTATCCAGCACATAAACAAGCATGCAAAGAGTGGGTGTGTGGAATTTCCAGTCTTTTACCACTGATTATGAATTCTTAAAAATGTGCTAACTGGTAATTAATCTGTTAAACAACGCACAGGTAATTAATTTGTTAAACAAGGCACATTGTATTTGATCAAAGGTTACCTAGTACATGTAATGAATTTTTAATTTGATGGCAATGTATATAGAGAATTCTCCCCTCCTACAGTAGACAATTCTTAGGTACAGTGAGCCCTCGACTTACGAACGTAATCCATTCTGGGAGGACGTTCGTACCTCGGAAAGTTCGTAAGTTGACCTACCATTTCTCATTGAAATGCATGGGAATGGAATTAATCCGTTCCAGCATTTCAAAATAAATAAATAAATAATACAAAAATAAAAATAAAAAGAGCAAGTCCCACGTTGGGACTGCAAAAACACACACAAACACAAAAACCACAGAAACATAACCCCCCCCAGTCCAAACCCACCCTCCAAAACTCACACAGAAGTTTTTTTTAAAAAAGAGGACTTACCAGTCCGAAGCCTCCCAGCGCTCCGCTGGCTCTGCGCAGCCGGGGGCGAGGGGCCAGGTGCCCGGCCTGCTCTAGCCGCCCGGCGCTCTGCTGCCTTTGGAGCTTTCAAAGGGCTTCCTCCGATGTTGGGGAAAGCCCTTTGAAACTTCTGAAGGCACCGATCACGGCGGCAAGGACCCCCAGGGAGGTTTCCAGTGCTGGGATTCAGCCGGTTCACACCAGTTCAACAGAACCGATACCTAATGTACTATTGGCTCTGTAGAACCGTTTGCTAGCCTGCTAAATCCCACCATTGCCTGCAAGGTAGCTCGCCATTTCTTGCCTGAGGAGGTGAAATTTCGTCTCTAGTCTTTCCAGGGTGCTGGAGTTGCTGCCGCTGCTGGCAGCGGCTCTGGGGCTCTGGGGGCTGGAGGTGGGGGGGGCTGGCGGTCCTTGTTGTACTAGACTCCTGCCCACGCAAGGAG